AGAGGAACTTATCTATTAGGTGTTGAACAAAGTGAGACCAATGAAAAGAAATCAGAATAAGGCTAACATGGTAGAATTGGTGTTGTAAGGTAGAAGTTTAAACATCCAGTTTTCATAGTCACATTAGCCTCTCTGCATTTGGCCAGAAATATATGAAAACCCTAAAGTTAAAATCATGGAGAATGTCCGAGCTATGTTTCAACTTCATCAGCTTCTCTTAATTCATTTCCAGTCTGTGCAGTTAGTGTATCTTCACCATTTGAGATGTTGCAACTCATTCATGTTAGAATGGAAATGTTTCAGAAAGCAGGAACAGAGATGTTGAAAACCTCTTGTAGACAATGCAGAGTCAATTTTCTCAGAGTTCTACATCTTCTCCTGCAGATTCTAACATAATGAAAAGTTGCTGACCTGCTGAAGGAACAGTGTTGGACAAGAAGCAACATTAAAAATAAGTGATCTTTTTTCTGGGAGGCAAGAGAAGTAGAAATTAGGTCCGTTTAAGTGGCTGTACCTTTAGGTTCACAATGTTGCCCATGCTTTCCTAATATAGATGTCTAGGCAACCAGCTTAGATGGGATCCTTAGAAGGCTGGAGTAGACAAAAAATAATTCTGCTTATCTGTCTCTCTTATGAATTTCATGAACCTTTTTTGGGTTAGTTTACTTCACTTTTATACTAGTTACAATACTAAATAATTTCAGTTACAAACATAGCCACCAACATTTCAACACTTCTGCAGCACAAAAGCAAATACCATGAAGAGAAAACATTTGCTTTCAAATTTCTTAAATCTTCTAAAGGCAGTAAATTTCCTAGAAAGGTAGATATAAGTCTGGAAGCTGAGCTGGTTACAAGCCTGTTATGAGCAAATACTTTCTGGAGTATTTTTTCCCAGGAAGAGTATTTTTATTGTACATGTGAATTTAGAACAAGTATTAGTGATCTCTGCCCTGAATCGGGGCATAAAGAATTCTACTAGAAGGAAATTATGTTGTCGAAATTATCAAAATACACAAGTTAAAGTCTCCATGAGATCCTGTTCATGTCAGGTGCCCATTGGAACACTGGAATGACTGGTCAGATCCTCAGCAGAAACAACACTCCATCAGTATAGAACAGGGTAAATCAAATAAATTGAAAGGTTTATATTTGCATTTTTCAGAAATAGGTAAAAATATCAAAACAATTGATTTTGCTTTCTTTTATGTCACCTCTGCAAAGAGAATGCTTGTTACTGCTTCTCGTGTAGTACGCAGAAAAATGGTTCTTCAGCTGGAGGACACTTCTTAGGGTGTTTTTAATGGTTTTTGCCACGTAAGGCCAGCATAAGACAGATAAAAGTGATTATTTCAGTGGTTTTTATGAAGTGTTTATTATTATTATAATTATTGATGTTATTATTATATTATATTAGAATGTTATAATATGTTATATGTAATTGTAATATTATAATGTGTTATATGTAATGTTATGATAATAATATAATTATTAATAATAGTGGTGATAATAATAATAATGATAATTCATACAATCACAGAATGGTTTGGGTTGGACCAGTTCCAACCCCCCTCCCATGGGCAGGGATGCCTTACGCTAGACCATGTTGCCTAAGGCTCTGTCCAACCTGGCTTTGAAAACTGCCAAGGATGGAGCATTTATCACTTCTTTGGGCAACGGGTTCCAGTGCCTCACCACCTTCACAGGGAAGAACTTCTTCCTTATATCTAACCTGAACTTTGAACCCATCACCCTTGTTCTATCACTACAGTCCCTGATGAATTGTCTGACACTTGTTGTCCCTGGATTTTAAACTGCTCTTTTAGGAAAGAAGTTTAGCAGAGATGATCATGTATTTGTAGGGGTAGTGTCATAAAAGAAAGCTTCAAGTTGATGGCAATCTCATTAGAGAGGCTAAGGAAATTGCATCATTCTGACCTTAGTTTTAGGGGCTGAAATTTCTGGAACACTTCTTAACATTATGCTTTCAATTTCCAGGACATACAGAAATGAATGGCAAAGATGGAAGAGATAGTCTGGCTGATCCTGCTTTGAAGAAAGAATTGGATTTTCTTATTTTGGATATGGTAAGTGTGAGGAATGGAACAAACTGTGCTCTATCACATGAGACAACAGAAGATACTGTTCAGTGCCAGGACATGTTACTGGATATTCCTTTGCAGTGCTGCATGCAAATGTTAATTTTGTGGTGTTTGGCAAATAGTGCCATAGATTTTAAGCACTATGAAATCACTTTGTTTGGTTTCTGAGGTGCTGGGTCTTGGTGAAGCTACTAATGGCAATTCTGTGCTGGTTTCACTGAATACCAGAGGTCAAATACTAGCATAAGAGCTTGAGAGATGTATCACACTAGTAAACTCTGTAGTTTGGCATCTTCAGAAACACCTGTCTGCCATACAGCCCTGGATAAATATAGCAATTTCAAGATGACTTCATAGGACATGTTTAAATATTCGTAATTGCTTACAGAACTCAAAAACATATAACCTAATAATAAAAATATTCAGATTATGTTTGCCATAAAAGAAAAAGCCAAGACCAAAAACCTTTGGGAATAATTGTGTTTTTTATTGAATAGTGCCATACGGGTCTACACATGTGCAACATTATGCAATTAACTGTGATATAATATGGGATGCTGTCCATTAAGTCAACAAGATTACAGTTGATTTAATACAACTGACACTGACATGTTGACATTCATTTTGGTTTGGTGTATTTGAGGTGAGTCCGGAAAATTGCAGCTTAAAACCAGACTTAGAAGAAATCAAAAAGACACAGAGGCGTTGTTTGACAGACTGGAGTTTTGATGAGCATTTTCAACCCCATGTTCTTCTTCAGGTATCTGTGAACTGACAATCTTACACATACAGTCACCCCTCAGAATGCTGTACAAAGAATTAGTTGTGGAGTACATGATATTATCTTGCTAGATAATTGATCCAGTTTTATCCCTTTTACATTTTTACCAAACCTCATTTTTAATTTCAGTTTCTTGTGTGAATTTTTGTTTGTAATGGGTTTTTATTTCCTGGCCTGGCCAAACGCAGCTGTCCTTTTTAGTAGTGAGTCTTTTAGCTAAATGTATGATGGAGAAAAAATGATCTTGCTCTTAGGAGTGATTCTTCCTGGCAGTTATGGGACTCGTTAGCACAGTGTATGTGAAAGCGTACGTTGCAAATACCTATACAGTGTATGATTCATGGGCAAATAGAAAATGTTGTTATATTGGTACTTCAGCCTTTTAGGGCTACAAAAGCTTCACTTACAGAAATCTTTCAAGCTAAAGACTAAAACTCATCTTTCAGAAAGAATGAAAAATATGAAAGATCAAGTGTAAATGGTTTAAGTTGGTAACATTCTCCCGAGAGGAGTGGAGTTTTAGTTCCTGTGCTGCCTTGAGCTTTATATGCTACAATTCTTATTTGATCCTGACACATGCTATAGATGGGTAAAGGAAAGGCTGCTTGGATGTTTTCAGCACCACTTCAGTATCACAACTTTAAAGTCTTGCCGTGTATTTCAGGACGTTGGGAATTCCTTTTTATGCAACATAAATAGCTAATACTACCTAAACTGTCAATAATTAGGGAATCTAGTCAAAAGTTTCTGATGGAAAATAACTGCAACAGAAAGTAACATTTTATTAACAGAAAATAACGTTTTGTAAGAATACTTCCTTATACCACATGTCACATCTGAACAAACTTTTTCCATCAGCTGCTGTCAAGGTTTTCATGTTTAAAAAGAGAATTTGTTGATATGGAATTATTTCAGTTTTGAGTTACATGGTTCTGTAAAAATAATAGTTTAAAAGGTGGCTTTCTTCTAGCTATAACTATAAAATAAGTTTCAGCCTGCAGACAATGTAAACATTGCAAATGATGGGGCAGTACAGAACAGAGTGGAACACAGATTTGGAACACAGTAAATCTCAGAGCTAGGCAGGTTAGAGTACAGCAAGTTGAATAGCAAGTAAGCTTAACCAATCTAAGAATAAAGTAACTTTGTTTCCTTTTTACGCAGTAAATGATAGCTTTACTTTAATTTACTAGTTATTATTTAAGCACTTTATTATTGAAATTTAAGTATTTATTTAATATTTAAATATATTTGCTTATTATTTAGCCAAACTTTTTCATTTGTAGTCAGTCTCAGAAGTTGGAGCATAGTGAGTGCCTCTTCTCAATATGAATAGCTGAGGAGTTTCAATTCCACCTACCTGAACACTTCAGATTGCTGGAATTCAAATGCTTTGCACACATTTTATAGGAAAGCAAAGTTCTGAAACACCTTTTGCTGAAAGCTACTGTCTGCAGGGACGATGTACCTTTATTTCTTTCCTTTCCAGGTTCTTCATGCTGCATCCCAAGAATATAGATGTATTGATTTGTTTTATCATACCCAAGATAACTCTTTGCTAATGGTTCTTCACAATCCTATGAATCAATATCGTTTGTGCCAAGAGACTTGGGATATTGCATTGCACTCTAATGTTGGATTCAGGTAATTGATTTTATCTGTTACGTCTCATTCTCAGACATTTTCAGTTAAAGCCTACATGGGTATGCTTTGGGCAAAGCTGTGATAGTAAAACATATCACAATATAACACATTTAGGAGAAAACACATCACGTCATGTTGGAAAACGTTGTGCAGTGTTATATCAAAACCATTCTGTTGAGACAAAGCTTTTCTGAGTGAGAAGAACCATGCAGTAAATGTATGTGACTCCTTATTGCAAACTATAAAAAGAAAGGTAATGCACACATACACACAAAGTCATAGTAGGGATATCGTGTCATGGTTTAAACAAAACCAAGAAAATGAGGAGGAGGACACTTCAGGTGAAGGAGGTTGAAAAGAAAACTCTGTCTAAGAGTATACTTAATGGTTTTTTTCAACTGTGTATACACAAATTGGGTATCACTGGGAAAATGTTTTGAGAAATGCTAGAAGCCCTTTTTCTCACAGAGTACCAAATTCTTCTTAATCCCTTGTCGCCAGTTAGAAGCATGCAAGTGATTGATGTCTCTGCTATTAGAGCTTTTGTCAGTGGACCTATTCATTTTGCACTGGAACAGCAATTGCTGCAGATGTGATGTGGATCCACAGTGATGTGGATCTGCAACAGAGATAAATGAGGTGGATCCAACTGCTATGCTAAATAATTGACAGAAAGTAGAACATGTGACCATGTACCGATATGTGAAAAGTTACAATGCCATGGGGAGATGGATGAGCTATCTTTAACCATGTCACTCTGGAGCTTTATGGATTAATTAGATTTGATTTGTCAAATAGAATTTCAAGCAAATTATCCAGTGGACACCTCCTACCCCATTTCTCTGCAGGCATCCCTCATTTATCAGAATATAAGAATCTTTTCATGAAAGCTTTTGTTGGCACCTATATATTTGCACACGTTTGAATGCTAAACAGGCAGAGTGTGACTTTCTGAAGACATATTTTGTATTAGATTTCATATCTTTGCTCTCAAGGAACATTGTGTGAGTCCATCTTAGCTTTCCAGGCACTTGAACTTAAATTATTTGCCATGAAAAAAGGCTGTTGTGATTAGCACTGGGACCAGAGCTAGAAGAGATTTACCAGCAGACACACAAAGTTCCTTGGAGAAAATGCTGGCTGTTTTGTGGTTGTTGGGCAAATCCACTAAATTGTCTGGTCAGTCATTTTTTTTGCATGTATATAACAGCTGAAATATTCCCCAAAAGACAGTGTAAGATCATGTGTTCAAGTGAACCCACATCTTTCTTTCAGATAGACCTAGAAAGAAGGTCAGTGGTCTCAAAGTCTGTTATACAAAACTCTGGAGCACAGAGCTGTCTACTTTGCCCAGCTATGCTGACTGGGTTTGGGGGCATTGGACAAGTTGCCATTTTAAATACCTGGTGTACCTGAGATGTGTGCACAGGGCTGACACAGATGATGTGAGATCTGCAGGAGACCCATACCCTTTTGGAGCAGACATTGGAGACCAGGTCACATACTCCAGTATATCTAACATGTTACTCGGCGTTTACATACACTGAGTAACATGTCATCCAGCTGACATACTGCTGTTGTGTTGTCTGTAGGAGCAGATAGTGAGGAACGAGACTTCCTCAGGAAGCATTTCTCCTTGAAACACAATTCTTCATCTGTGGAGTCTTACAACAGTTTGGCTGGTCACCTTGAAAGGGCATTGAAATAGCCAGTTAAAGGCCAATTGAGAAATGGGAAGATCACTTGATACCTGCAAGACAAAAGTTGCTAATTTACATCCAAAAAAAGAATGAAGCGTGTTCTTTGGTAAATGCATTATAATTCAGTTGAGGATGAAATAGGTCTATGCTTCCTCCTTCTTACTCTTCCACATACAGTGGAAACAAGGCTTAGACATTAAAGATAGCTTCTGCTTGGGGCACACCTTTTTTGTTCAGTGATGCTTCATCAGTTTCTGTTTCAAAGCAGCAAAGAGTTCCTAAAGTTCCTAAACTGGCATGAAAGCTTACAAGAAGGTTTCACTTTGCTCTTGTTTCATAGAAATATTCAGTGTCACTGCTCTATATGCTAATTAGTATCTTTGAAGAGCTATGGGATCTTCTGCGGTTCTGTTATGTGGCATCTATACCTGCCTTTTCTCTTCAAAATAATCAGCACATTTTCTGACCTTACTCAACCGTTTTGCTAAAGATCATTTCAGATTTCCAAAGTATCATAAATATTTGCTAGTGTGTGTTTCCAAGCAACGTAACACTTCTGTGCAAGACAGTCCTTACATACCTGGAATGCTTCAAGCTTTTGCAATTAGCTTCCAGATCCTTCTGAGTTGCCAGAAACAGGCACAAACCATTTTTCTCAATTAAGCAGTAGTATTACTAGTTTTTTACCTTTGTATGAAATAACTGGCTCCCAATGAGTTTAGTAACAATTTACTGATTTTCCTTTTATTAAAATTACTGTAATTCTAATTTCGGGCATATATTTAAGAGTCACACTTTCACCATAACAGAATTACAGATACACAACAGACACTGTGCTTGACCGTTTCTCTGTTAGGAGTTGTCTACCTGTGTTTGCTTGTTTCTTATCTATTCTGACATCTTGTAGACCACAGACGCACTTTGTAGGGTTGTTCCATAGTTGCTGTCTGGAATATACTTCTCTTACATGTTAAACAGTTGGTTACAGTGGGTCGTTTACAGCAAATTTTCATGCAAGGGGGAAATTAAATACCTTATGTCTAAGATATTTATCTCAAGATATTTATCCTATGCAAAAATAGCAGCTTTTGCTCCTGATGATCCCAGTTACCCTTCGCTATGGATATCATGTCCCATAGTTCATGTAGAATTCAGGAATTGTGCTGTTCAAAGAGCAATCAGCAGGAGGCTGCATGTGAAATCCAGTGATGCTACTGAATAAGAGGATCCAAAGTCATGGGCTCATGTACCTGCAGTGGTACATGTGTATAGAACATTTCAACTCCGGTTTAGGATAAGTGGCCCCTCCAACAGGAAGCCAAATACATTCAGATATTATCAAAACTATTATTTTGCTCAAAGTTAATCTTAATGACATTTGTTTACTGTTTCATAGTAAACATATTACACAAGTTACTGGAAAAGAGTCATCCTTTCTGAGAAATGATTCTGAGTCAGACATTGGCAGTAGTGACATCAGAATACATATTAATAGAACATGTATTTTTGACTTTGAATGACTGTTTCATTGCCCTAAAATATTTTCCATGCGAATAATCACTTTTTTATTTATAACATATATTCATCTTCAAGTTATTCCAGTACTGGCAGCTTTAGGTTCCAGCCTAGTTTTGCCTTTTTCTTTTCAACACCTTTGTTTTTGTAGCTTGTACATTTTTCTTGAGATACAAGCAGGGTCACCTTGTCCCCAACAATTTCTCCATGTAAGTTTTGCAGAACAAGCTCCACCTGTATTGCAGAAACGGATGGACTTGTGTGTCTTGAAGCTGTACACAAACTATATACATCTTCACTCTGTGCATATCCTGTTAGACATGCACCATAATGCTGCAATAAGTACTTTAAAACTGTCATGAGGTCAAGAACTGGTTGTGCTGCCTACATATTCACAACCAAAAACTGTAATGTGTACAGAGCTTTTGAATACAATTGAATCATCTTGAATTTTTAAGTGCAAACCATTATGAAGACACAACAACTGCGTCTGATGCATTCTTTGAAAGCCCCTTTTATTTTTTCACAATTGAAGAATTTTACTTGAAAGAATTATGGTAACACTCCAAACCAAGGGGTTGAGTAGCAACTGTGTAGGAGACTTCTAGGCTTCATTGTACCTTAGGAGCAGTTTTTCACAATGAACTATTTTAGCAGTCATTTCAGATGCCATTGGCCGATGACACAGTGCAACTACAGACACCAGCTGCAAACTCTGGATTAGTCTGTCATTCAGTGCTCTCTTCAATTTAACTGTTAAGAGTTACATTTACACCGGGCTACAGTGCTCTGATTCTCTAACCTGGATTTGGATGACAATTTCCAATCACCTTTCTTGTCACACTGAAAAAGAAGAACTAGAAATTAAATAGAATTATACCTCAGTTGCTGAACAAACAGATGAAGTGCGTTCTGAAAGACAATATCAATCAAGACATCATATCAAACAGGAGAGGTTCAGGTTAGATATAAGGAAGAAGTTCTTCCCTGTGAGGGTGGTGAGGCTCTGGCACAAGTTGCCCAAAGAAGTGGTAAATGCTCCATCCCTGGCAGTGTTCAAGGCCAGGTTGGACAGAGCCTTGGGTGACATAGTCTAGTGTGACATGTCCCTGCCCATTGCAGGGGGTTGGAATTGGATGATCTTAAGGTCCTTTTCAACCCAAACCATTCTATGATTCTGTGATTCTAAAAGCAACTAAGAAAATAAGTTATCCTGGTGGTAAAAGAGAGGGGAGCAGAATGAGTCTGAACCTTTCTTAAACTGAATGTCTGTATGTTTTCTGACTTCCTTGATTTTCTTTGGGAGCAGGCATTCTTTGGAAGACAAGTTTCTAATACCTCTTTGCGAAAGGATAACCAAAACCCCAAACAGTAAGATATCTTAATCAAATACCAAGCAGGCAAAAGTACCAGCTCCTGAGTGAAAAAAGAAACGCCCTCAAATACAAGCCTTCTCTCAAAGATTATTTAGTAATATTTGTATAAGAAACTGAGAAGCCAAGTGAGCTTGCTTGACCTAAAATGATGAGTGAAAATTGTATTATATTGTATTATTATATAAATAGAGGAATATTGTGCTTTTAAGGAACTATCTCGAAATGGTGGTCAACTCAATTGAAGATTGGGTGAAAGAGGAAGAAGTCAAATACCAAGAAAAGAAGATGGCTAAGAAAACAGAGTCTCTTAAACCCCTGGCAGAAGGATCTTCTGAATTGACAGTCAAAAAACCTTTCCCTGTGAAAGCCGAAGGTGAGTATACTTTTGTTTTATCTTAGAAAATTCATTTTTCATGTTGACTGCTGAGCCCCAAAGTTGTTCAGAGCAGAACTGCGTAGATTTTTTCATAGGGTAACCTTGTTTTGTCATCTGTATAGACATAAATATATTTTGAAATTAATTAAGTACACTAAATATTCTGCATCATCCTCTGTTCTGAAAACTGAGACCTTTAATGTCAATTTACATTTATGATAGCTGGGTTTATTTAATGGACTTACTTTAAGAATTGCATACAAATACGGATTTCTATTTAGATGACTGATGAGCAGTAGTTAAAGCTGGCAACATGATTCAAGAAAATTCCTTTATAAAAGGGCATGATAAAAGCTTAGGTCAGGAGCTGTGGGATAGAAGCTAAAACTGGAAACTGGAATTGACTAGACTGCAAACTCCTGACAAAAGAGAACATCTGTCCAAATTGTCTGCTTGCATATTTCAGTGGTATTAACAATGATTTGTTGATACTTAGGCTTTATTTTGTTCACCTTCTTTGAAAATGCTTTTTGAAACCTTCTAGTACTAGCAGTTAACATTTACAAAAATGGGAATATTATTCCTCAACCCAGTTAACATATCTGATTATAGTTTGGAAACAGAAAGTACAGTTGTGAGTTCTAAATCATAGTTTGTATCTATCAATTTGTCACAGGAGCTAGAATGAATCCTGCCCATCTGGTGCCTCATGGCAGATATGATTCACAGAGAAGTTCGCTTGCTGAAAGAAGTGAACCTCTAGGTGGGACGTGCAGATGGGCAAGAGTGTCTTTAAGTGATTTCAATAACACTGAATTTCCTATAACCCACATTGCAATTTCTACTTTGTAATATAAAGTAATTTAACTACAAGTTTCTGATAGCATACTTCATCTTTTCTAGCAGGTAAATATTGGGTATCCAAGCATGGTAGAAAACCACACACCTAGAGAGATATCCTATTAATGAGTCATAGATGCTATAAAGCCCTAATAGTAAACAGGGGAAATGGTGTTTCTTTAGTGAAGGTTTGAAGGTTCAGACAGCATTTATTCACTTTTTTGTCCAACTCAAGTATTGAGCTTCTTCGGGGTGAGCTGGTTGAAGCCCTGGATCTGAATTCTGAAACAATGATAGCAGCACAAATAATAAATACAGCTTACTGGTTATCCACATTGCTCGTCTCCTAAAAAACCCCAAACTTGTTGCAGGAGCAAAGCCTTCTTGCTTCTACAGCAAGAAGCAGAGAGTCAGTCTTTAAATATGTTGATACAAATTTGTCCCCAGTTATGACTATCTAGTAATACTAGTTGTGAGAGAAGTTTCTTCTAACTTGAAGAGTCTTTTTATTTCATTTAAAAAAAAAATATTTTCATATTCTATTTTTTTTTATACTTTTACTATTTTCAAATATATATATTATTTACTTGCACTTCCTTTTTATCTTTCCATTTTAAAAAATTATTCAATTTTCATATTTTTGTAACCTCATTTGTCCCCCTTTCATTTCTCAAAGGTAACACATCCGTACGTCAGGGAATAACAGGGACTATCCCAGAATTTCAGTCCAAGAATGAAATAAGTCATTTTATTAGAGAAGGCTCTCTAAAGGTGAGGCAAAAATAATTATGTTTCTGAAATGGACTAAATAACACTGCTTTTTTTGGAAGGTAAGCCTTCATTCTTGCATAGTCTTGACTCAGTCCTCCTAGTTTTTCTGCTCTTGGCTATATTGCGTATACTTGTTTTCTTTAGTTTATTCCTTATTGATTCAGTTATGTTATTTTCTGAAGGGAAGACTGTTGGAGTTAGACTGCAGTTTCAGAAGGCAATTCATAATTGCACTACTGGAAAATGAGAGTTATGGATAATACCCTACTTCTTGTTGAAGTTTTCTGGTTGTAAAGCTATGGAAACATAGATCCAGATTCATGTAAGCTTTTACGTACCCAATTTCTACTTTTGCTTTCTAGAGCTCTTTGAAATTAAGGAATGTAAGTATGACCTCAGAGTTCCCTTCTGGCAGAGAATCACATTTCATAGATGCAGTCCATGGTCATGGGCTACAGATTAATTGACTTACCTAGGTCCACACTGTCAATTTCTGGCTGAGGTAGAAGTTAACCACACATTTTTTAATTCAGCATTGGCACTATCCATTAATCTGCAAAAATCTAGATTAATTAATATTGTACTCCCTCATTCTGTACTTTTTTTGACTTTTCAGAGACATAGCATGTCTTATAGCATGTAATGCTCTGCCCTTAAAGTACTGATATTGGAATGTAGATGTGAAATTATGTTAACCAGTTCCTGGGTACTCAGATTGAACTGTAACGGTGCAAGTTAGACTAATACCTAAGATGTAACTGTGAATGCTTACCATGTCTTCCACAGAAATTGTTGTACTATGGTATGCTTAGAATAAAAAGTGCTGTAAATCCCTACGTACTCTGGAAAATCTCAGATATTCCTGGTACAAGTTGATAATTCTGATGTTGATACCTCGTTCCTCTTTAAGTAAAAAAATAAGATCATTTTATCTCAGTTGCATTTTGGGAATAAACTAATACCAGTGATGCATTCTGATTTTGTGATGAACATTGTGGAAAAGTGTACAACAAAGTAATTCTTCTGTGACTCAATGTGTAAAATAAAAATAATCATCTAATAGGTCTCCTGTGGTCAGGAATGACTGATCCCATAGATAGAATGAGTCAGTAATTTTATACAAAATCATAGAATGGCTTGGGTTGAAAAGGACCTTAATGTCATCGAGTTCCAACCCGCTGCCATGGGCAGGGACACCTCACACTAGACTATGTCACCCAAGGCTCTGTCCAACCTGGCCTTGAACACTGCCGGGATGAAGCATTCACAACTTCCTTTGGCAACCACTACAATCCCTGATGATGAGTCCGTCTCCAGCGTCCTTGTAGGCCCCAATATAGTGCATAATATTATAAATCTTTAGATACGTTTGGAAAACATGTCTTAGGGTGACTTTGAACTTTGATTCTTTTGAGGTTGAATATTTGTACTCTTTTCAGCATGCACATACGAAATATCTTGTAATACATGGAGAACCACAGTCTTTGGAATTCCTAATGTTTAATGTAGGCTTGGAAGCAGGAGCAGGATCAATTACGAGAGCAAGAACAACTTGTGGATGAAAAGAAAAGAAGAAAAGAAAGTCTGAAAGATGAGAATAAAGGACAGGAGGTAATACATGAAGAAAGTAAAGGTTCCAGCAAGAAGTTTTCACAAGAGAAGTTTAAAGAAGAGTCAGCAAAAGCTGAGGAGGATCCCAGCATCCCAGAACCACATTCTGAGAAAGTTTATAAGGTAAGCAGTCATTTGCACTATGTTAGGAAAGTGCTAACTGTTCATATATATAGTCAAGATTACAGCAAAGCTATTATCCATTGGGAAATTGGAGTTCAGGGCAAATTAAGCCTACTAGGTCTTGTTTAACTCCATTGTTGCAGCAGCTCCATTCCTAAAAGTTTTGGAAAGCGGTTTCCGATGTTTAAGATTATCCTACACAAGATTATTTAATTAACTTGCATGGGTTTTAGAGTATACGACCTGAACACAAAGATTAATTGATCGTGTTTATGTGCCCATGGAAAATATATTTATGGAATGAATTTTGCCTAAAAATGTGACTTTCATGGGCATGGGTTGGAAAGGGGAGTATAAAGACCTGTTTCAACTCTCATATTCTTCGGGGACTAGACCTAGTTGTAGTTCTGGCTGTTCATATTGGAAATCAAGGAGAAGCTGTTCACTGTTTCTTCCATTTCCTGTTTCAAAATTCATTCTTGGAGTGCCCTAATACAAAGTATTCCACCTGCTATACTAACAGAGGGGTATTTCTTACAGAGGGAACTCTTCACTAGTTTTGTCCAGTTTTTAAGCAGTTTGCACTGCTTTATATCTGCAGAGTCTAAGCCTTGCATCCAATGCTTACATATGTCAATATACTTTAGTCTAAACTTCCTTGAGTACAGACTTCAAACTCAGAGGTACATAATATTTCAGTCTGACCTTGAGTACACTCACCAAATTTTTACCAATTCGTGACTCTTTGGAAGTGTCCTGGGTTCAGCTTAAACCACGACAGGAAGGCACTTCAATCTTAGGATCAGATTTACAGTGTCTGAATTCCAAAATCTAGAGGGTGGAAAGTTGACTCTTTATCTGCCCTTTACCTGATCCCACTGTACTTTGTCTCTTCATACTTGGCCAGAATTTTTCTTTCCCTGCTATTATATGTTAGCCACCAGTCTACTTGCTAGTCTTCAGTTTCCATGATGGCACCATACCACTGAAGGACCAGATTCTCTCATGTGGAACAAGTTACGTCAGCTAGTAACTGAGAAAGTATTTGGATATGAAAATAGCATGCTATGTATTTGCTAAAGTCATTATTACATTAGTTAAATATCTAAGCAAAAAAATGTTAACCAGAACAGTGGGATCCTGATGATCTGACCTTCATTTACCTCTTTCATGGGTTCTGCCTTTTTCATTTACGCATAATTGAAAACTTGGTTTTCCAGTTTCTTGGCTACAATATGGGGGAAGATGTCATTCAAGTATCAGGAACCACTCAATATCTTTTCCCGTCTGATGGAGGACAGATTCAAGTAGAGAAGATAGAGTTTGTAAAAGGTGACTTGTTAATTCTTCATGCTTTGCTTTGACTCAGTTACTGACTGATAGCATAGTTTCTTAATCCATAAATGCTTTTTCTTGTCTCAGTAGCAGAAATTCAGTAAACACATTGGAAGGGTACCATTAATTCCATTTCAGCCTCTATCACTACTAATGTTTACATTTTCCTGTAGTATGTTAGCAACTGATAGGTAAATAAAGTACCAGAAAATTAGAAATGGAGAAAAATCAGTTCGTATTTATCTGTTCAATGGCAACCAATGCATGATATTTCAAGAATGTATGGTCCAATAATTTGTCCAGTCAAATGCAATGTATCTAAGTGAGAGGGTTATTCTGCTGTATCTCAGATCTAATTGTCAGGAAGTTTTTGAATTTTTAGGCTAAACTCAGTGTTAACCTTTATTTTGTCTTCTTGGTATGCTGCTAGGAAATTCCGTCCTCTTCTGAGCAATTTTCTTTCTTTGTGTGTTTTAGAGTTGCAGGTACAGGGCTGTTCTGAAGCCTGGTGGGAGCAATAACAGGATTCTGTTGCTTTGCAGGTCTAACTTTGGTAAAGGTGAGAGTGATAAAAGACAACCACAATTTCTTCATTCATATCACAGACCCCAAGAAAGACTTGAAAGAAATCGAAATGCAAGAAATTAATGAAGAACAGAAAATGAGATCAGGTTAGTGGACTGGCATTACTGATACAAAGAATTTAAGTCTGACGTATTTTGTAATTGGATGCAAACCCTATCAACTAATAGAAAATAAATTCCTCCTAATGGCAGAGGGTAAATGAGATCAGTGTTGTGTAAATAGAACTAAAAATACAGTTGGCTGACTTAAGCACCATGTAGAAGCGCAGTACAGAGTGCAAACCAGCTGCTTTTCCAAAGCAAGGAAATTAATGAAAAGAGTCACCATTCCATAAGAAAAGGACCTTCTTCTTTAGTGGAGTTCTCTTTCAGATCTTAATATGGCCTGGGAAAGCCTAAGAAGATGCAAACTGAATCATGTTCATTGTGACAAGAATAAATGTCTGCCCTATAAAGGGGAGATTTCCCTCTTTGAACATGACCTCCTTTTGTGGGTCAGACGAGCATAGAATTAGTGCCTCCTCAAGACCTTTGCTGTGGAAACACATCTTTCTGCAGTTCAGCAGCTTCTGCTGCTGGTTCACATGTTGCTAACACTCTGAAAGCATTGAATCCAAATCTTTTCTGAAACCACTTGAGTGTTTCCAAGAAGGAATTGTCTGTAACAATTGGTATGTATGTTTGCCAAAAGGGCTATGGAATTGCTTTCACTGAACTGAAGAGTATTGGAAAAGTGTAACTTTCAGTAGTTGTTTAAACTTCATCAGTGTTACAAAGCATCCTGTTCTTGCTCCTCTCATTGGCTTCAACTGCCACCAGTGATTTAATTACAGGTTGTCTGAGTAGAAAATTTGCATTGCTTCCACAGATGAGATGTTTCTTGTCTGCCTTTCCGAAAGCAGACCTGTATCAGTCTGCCAAGTGATACTTCTAGTCACCAGTGTGCTAGCATCTGAGGCAAGTTGTATTCCGTTGGCATGAGTGGGAGGCTTTCCTCCTGTGTAAACAGGAGTATCTCATAGAAGGGCAGTAGGGCAGAGAAGAATCAATCCACTGTGGTACTTGGCAATGGCTGAATGGTAGCACAGTAAGTTTTTAATGCAGTCAAAATGGCAGTACAGCATTCTGCAGGTGTAGTCACCAATGAACATTGCAATGACAAAGTAGGAGCAGGCAAGATCTAAGCACGTGTGCCTTGTTGATGAAAGACCTTGGGGGTGGCTAAGTGTTGGTGTCCTGGGTTCAGCTACAGCAGTCATTTTTTCTCCTTCTTAGTAGCTGGTGCAGTGCTGTGTTTTTGACTTTCGGTCTGGGAACAACGCTGATAACACCGATGTTTTTAAGTTGTTGTGTGCCTTGTTGATGAAAGACCTTGGGGGTGGCTAAGTGTTGGGTACCTTCCTTAACCTTCTTTTGTAGGCTTCTCTGCTGCTCCTCACATATTGGAAATCCCTAGCTGATTAGAATGCAATTTCTAGATGGAAAATCACAGCTGTATTACACAAAACTGACTATTATATGCTACTCCATATTATATATACAAATAGATATATATATACACACACACACACACATATATATATATATACACACATATATAGACACTTAAAGCTTTCCCATCCTATATTAGTCTACTTTACAAGCTACTCATCCACATGGAGGTGCCCCTGTTCACCCTAGTTCACACCAGTCGTTGGTTTGCAGGTCAGGTGGTTCTTCTATGTGTTGCTATCTATAAAATTAATTCTAATTTTTCTTTAAAAAGGAAAATTGGAAAATCAAAAGCAACCTGTGAGCAAGTTTGGATCTTTTTCAGCCACCTTGGAAAATGGAATCCAGCTGTCCCTAAGCTATTACGGACCTACAGGGGAGACATCAGGTAAAGCAAGCAAATAAAAGTGGATATTTGAGAAGCATAGAGGGATATCTTTTCTTCTTATTTGCTTAATTTTTTTTTCATCTACTCATTCCTTACCCCAATAATTTGTTGCATGCAATTGTGCCTTTCTCAGCAGCTGTTACTACATGGTGGGGAATTTTCAGCAAGGCTTGAGATGAGGTGACATTGTCAACAATATTCTGAGATTCAAATTTCAAAACAGAGAGAGGTCTCGATTTTTTTGCTTCCTGTGAAAAAAGAACAGTTCAGGGAGAAACTTGCAAGTATTGTTACTAAGTAGCCCAGCTAAATCAGCCAGTTAATTTGAGCCAAAGCAAATGTGAATTGCTGAGGTGTCGTCTTGGTTTTCCAAGAAATACTATGTTTTTTAAAGTTACAGAGGTGATTATGGAACTTTCATTTGACATGAGGAGTTGGACTTTAGGTTAGAGTTGTGCAGACATAAGGAGGGATTTCTTTCAGCCCTTCAATAAACACATTCGCCAACTGGAAGCAATTGCTTCACAAAACCACAGTGAAAATAGCATCTGCTTTAACCAAGAGCTTTTTGTTTATATTACGTTTGAAAGACTACTGAAACCATCATAAGGATAAAAGTGAAACCTTCCACTGATCAGAAAAGAATCCCAGCATTTTTCAGCTCTTAAAATCTGAAAACATTTAATTGGCTGCATCTTTGTATGGACTGGGGGAAACCATTCAAGTGTACGCTCAGTTTTAATTTTTAAAATACATTTTACAAACTAATGCTAAAAAAGGACCTTTAAAACTTGGGCCAAGAGAGCATTTACAAGGTAGTGGACTCTGAAAACTTGTGTTTTGGCTTAAAAGTGATACATGTCTAATTAAACACATCAGCTGGGATGTTCAGACTTTCTCACATCTACCATGCGCATCCTATTCTACATTAGAATAATCCTTGCCATATTGAGCTTTAGTGCAGCACTGCTGACTGACGTTCTTTGATTGCCGTTCTTCTACAATCACTTGCTTATGCCTAATTCCTCTTGTGGGTATTTGTATCATAGAATCATAGAATGGTTAGGGTTGGAAAGGACCTTAAGGTTATGTAGTTCCAACCATAAGTGCTCAGAAAAATTCTGACCAGAAATACTCTGGCTTAGACTGTTCTCATATGCCATCCATCCCTAATGTAGAACAGTATGCCATGTAATCCACAGTTTCTCTCCACTGAGTGGTTACACTGGGTGCAAATTGCTTCTTTTTCCTGCATTACTAAAGTAAGTTTCTGGAACCTCTCTAATGCTCATTTTTTTCCAGCTTTTCTCATTTTCTCTCTTACATCTTCCTTTTAGGGAAGCTAAGATGACGAAAGGCCTCAGACTGTTTGCAGCTTTATGCATCTTCTTTTATTTCTTGGTTAAATGTTAGTATTTGTTGAAGTTTTGAATGAGTATTTGTTTTCTCTAGCATGACTGGTATATAACTTAAGACCACATTACAGCCAAGCTTGTAAGCTTGCTCCTCATAGCTTTGTAAAGCTGGCACTGCTTGAGCACCTGCAGGGCTTTTACCTCTGGGTATTACAGCACCTTTGCACTTGCTTGTCGTGCCTTGACAAAATTATGAGAGTACAATTCCAAGTGTTAGAAATCTGCATGTGTGTGCAGGAGGAAGGAAACCTTCCTTAGTCTGACAGACCTCTGGAATATCCCATCTCTCTCGATATTCCTGAAGACACTTTTCCTCAGTTTCAACAATCCACTCTTTCTCAGTGTTATCCGCTGACACTGTGTTCTCTTTTTTTCAGGGCAATGAGAGTAAAGGAGTAGGTGAAAATTCCTTAGGGCTCAAGAGCCCATAATAACTTCCGTTTTTAAATTCAGCACTCTGGAAAGTAGTGTCATCTGAACCTGAGCTTGCTCCATTTCACAGCATGGGTACCTGTGAGTGGTAGCTCCCATTGCTATGTATAGGAACTTGCTTATACACAGTTTGCAGTGTTCACGTGGGTATTTATACTCGCCTGACAAGATGGACTACATTCACTAATGATTTTATTGGACATTTGCCTCAGAATCCTTCATTTCAGCTATCCTACTTCTCCGTGGAGCACTAGCTCTGTCAAAGCTTATTAGTCAGCTGATTCGTCCACCTGGAGATGGGTACTACTGTTTGTTTCTTGCATGGCCATGCTGTCTCAAATATGCATCTCAGAACAGATTCCATGGAGAATTTGAAACTTTCCTATTTTATATAATTAGCTGAGACTTTACCTCTAGATTACTACGAAAGAAACAGATTTGTTCTCCTTTCCTCAGACTTCCAATAAGCTGTAAAAACCACACAGCATAAATTTCAGTACAAGAAAGCAGAGCCACTTAACAAAGCACCAGATTCTCATGTCCCAGCTAATGAAAATGCAGATTTCAAAAATCTTTGCGGTGATCTACATTTCCCTTTCATACTAAAGGTCATGGATATATTCACATATCTCTGTGTTTCCCTAATGCTGGCACCTAGACAAATACTGAGATCGAAGGCTTAAAAACTGAGGTGGAAGGTTTGTTATCCAAGCCTAAGTATCTTAGGTTTTGGGTCACTTTTTCAGTTGCCAAAAATCTAGAATCATCCATAAGGCAAATGTGCAGAGCTAAAACCGTCTATGTCAAAACCTTTCTGGAAATGGTGGACACAGTGGCACTCAGGCCTACCTTCTAACTTTTTCAGCCAAAAATATACTAACGCTTCATCAGCATTACAGAAAATGCTATAATGTCACACCAGAATGGTTCAATTAGCATGCTTCCAGATGCATTTCTTTCCTTCTTTGTCTGAATGTGATCTGGATGGCAGTTTGTCAATGAATTATTTAACTTTTCCTGCCCTGATGCAACACTTTTCATATTAAATAATACTGTACATTTGAAGAAGCAGAATTAAAATGTAATTTTACCAAAACAAACAAAAACAAGTATTTTTGGAAGTCTTCATAAAGACATTCTTGAAATGACTGACTTGTTGTTAAACTTCACCATTTACACAAACTACTAAGCAAATCAAGCTTGCTTTATTTATTTTTAAAAGGCTTTCAAAAGTGGTTTCTGAGATCACTGTGTTTTGTTCACTGGCATTTTCAGTTCTTATCTGTATGGGTGTGGTTAAGATGTGGGTAATAAATTGCTTCATCTGCAGTAACATGTTCTCCAAAACAAACAAGAATTCAATTGTTCAGATTGTGTGGATGGGAAACAAGGTGCTATTTTGTGCGCTGTTGGTTTGAGACTGAGGCTGCCTTGAAGCAAGAGAAGATGACTCAAAAAAAATTCTTTCAGAAAAGCATTAAGATTAGAGCTGGCTGGGGTTTTTGAGGAAAGAGAAATGTCAGTTCGTTGAAACACACATGTTTTACAGAATATCTTAGTTTGTATTCATTTTATTTTCAAGAAACTATTTTGGAAGGCAACATGACCACTTGCTGTCATGCTTAGCAGGCTGCTCTATGCTTGGCCTTTTAAGAATTGGGAGAGTCTTACCAAGTCTAGATCATCAAAATCTTTCTGAATCACTATGGCAAAATAGAGCTATGTAGTGCAAAACTGCTGGAATCAGTCTGTTCTGGATCAGCCCATGATAAAGCATAACAACAGGGACCTTTACCTAGATACTAGACTCAGAATGTCTCCACCTATCTTAGAATTCTGGAGGTAAAAGAGAATTTAAAATATTGTCTTTTCTATTTTTGAGAGACAAGTGATGACCTGTGGGAGATGTCTTTTAGGCTGACAAGTAGTCAGTCTATGGAAGGATTTTCTGAATAATTAAATATATTCAATCCCTCTATCTGAAATAATAAACACCCCTACCGAGGTTATTATTTTCAAGATAAATTTAGTGTACAAAATATTGTTAAAAAATGAACTGTGGCCGTCTATGAAACTTACTTGCATTAAAAATATTGTCTTTCCCTTCCTTAGATGATGAAACAGATCCTGTCTTAGCAAGAATTCTGAGCATTCCTTCTGTTCATATTCCAACTGTAGTTTCTCCTGTTACATCACATTCAGGAAAAAAAGATAAGCCAGTCAAACAAAAATCAGGAAAATCTCAGCCACCTGCAAAAGCGAACACTAGCAAAACAGGCCTTCCACCTCCTGAGGATCTAGTGAAGCAAGAAGAAAAGGTGAGAGATTACACATGATCCAATGAAAACAGAAAAGAAATAACAAAAATTTGGATACATAAACTTACAAAACAGAAACATAGATTCTTCTCAGAGGGACTTGAACTGTGCCTTCACAAATTCCTATTTATGGTGCTTCTAAGGATATATTTTACTCATCCAGTTGTTCTCAAATGTACATATTGGCAGCTAGCCTTTATGACTTTATGTGTAAATCACAGACTGGTTTGGGTTGGGAAGGACCTTAAGACCATCCAGTTTCAACCCCCTACCATGGGCAGGGAGGCCTCACACTAGACCCATGTCACCCAAGGCTCTGTCCAGCCTGGCCTTGAACACTACCAGGGATATGGAGCATTTACCAGTTCTCTGGGCAACCTGTTCCAGTGCCTCACCACCCTCACAGGGAAGAACTTCTTCCTTATATCTAACCTGAACTAGGGTTAAATGCAGTGCAGGCTTGTTAGAAAGAATAGATAGATTCTATTACAAAGCAAATGAGAGGAGAGAGTAATAAAACAAGAATGAGTACATACTGAGAGTTATAATAGACTTGGAAGACTCTAAACACAATATACCTATGGTGCTTCCATGATACCCAGTGGATGAAGTCATGTTTCAAGATAGATTTTGTCCATATCCACAGAAAGACCTGCTTGCCTAATTTCAACAAGTTTAGTTAGGTATTTAAAGAGCATGAGCATGGAAAGTGGTGCAGTGAGTTGCCAAACAGCACTCAGCATAACATACAGTGATTGAGTGGCACAAATGAACCCTATACAAATACCCCTGCCATTAGAATTCTGTCTGGAGGACATTTGAGTTCCTCCTCTTCTTCCAAAAGGCTTTTTACTATTTGGTTTAGAATGTCTATGGCAGAGACTATTATTAGAGCATGCAGCATCCAGCTGTGTGAGTATTGTGCAAGTATTTTGGAGGACAGGATTAGAATCCAAAGCAAACTTGAGAAATTCACATGGACATGGTCTGTAAAATAGGATGCAATTCAGTATATCTACAGAATGGGTTTATCGATAACAGCTCTATAGAGAAAGGTCCGAGAGTGGCAATGGATCACAAGCTGTACGTAAGTCAACAGTGCCATCTTCCTGTGAAAAGGGTAAAGATCACATTGAGGTGAATAAACAGGAGTACAGCCTGCTAAATACATGAGGTTATTTTCCATTCAGGGCTGGTAGGGCTTCAGTTGAAGCATTGTGTCCATTTGCAGATATTGCACTGCAAGAACATGGGCCATATTGAAGAGTTTTTAGAAAAGCACCAAGAAAAACGAGAGGTCTAGAAAACTTGATGGGTAGGGAAAGATTAAAAGACTTAGTTTGGGCTTGTTTGATCAAAAGTTGAAAGACTTCCATAAAGAGCTAAAGGGACATCATCATTTTGTCTCCTAGCCCATATAATCAGAAGAGATTATCAGAAGTAAACTAATTTTCTGCAAGAGAGATTCAGGCTAATCTATGAGAAAACGTCAGTAAGGTTAATAAACATAAAGTACTGGAATAGTTTGCCGGGAAACTTCAGCCCTATAAATTTTTAGGATATAGGTGGTAGAGCATCTGCCAATTTTTCCCTATATTTGTATTCCTAAAAATGAAGAATATGGGGTAATCCCAGGAAAAGTTCTCTCTTACTTCTGTCTGCAATCCACAACTGTTTTCATCTTACAACTACTGGCATAGTGTAGTTCATTGTCACATATGTTTTGAGGGGGATGGCATCAAAGGGTCCATTGTATGTTTTCCAAATGTTCCAGGGTCTTCAGATGTTCCTTAGGTCAGCCTCGTCTTTTCTAGTCACCAGAAGAGTTTCCACTATGGAGCAATGCAAAGAGCATTACATGTTTTGACTGCCAAACATTCCTTCCTGTTCCTTTCTCAAGTCAGTGCTGTATTTGCAGCAGACTGAAGTAGTGCTCTTCATACCTTTTGTGCTCTTTTAATGATTATAGGCAAAATAATTGATGTGCAACTTCAAAATTGTTTCTCTTCAGCTTCACATTATCCATTTATCGTCATCTCGGCACTGTGCATAAGATAGCACAGTGACTCAGAAAAATGAATAAAGTTAGTAAGGGTTGTTCTTCAAGGGTTAATGAAGAGGAATGAATGAATATAGCACAACCAAAGTAAGTAAGCTAATGTTTCCACTTCAGAATCCATAAACTCTCAAAATGTTAAAAATGAGTGATAGAAAGCACTTTCTTTTTTAATGTATTGTAAGAACTGAAATCTGTAGTCTGTTTTTTTTTCTTTATTCTTTTAAAATGTGGAATAAAATGAATTCATGTTTCTGTAGATAGAAGTGGAAGAATCGGTTTCTCCAACACGAGTGACGTCTGATGCTCCTACCTTCCCAGCTTTGAATGTCTCCTGTCCCAACGGACTAGTAGTAACTTTCCTTGGTGAAAGTTTTGGAGGTTAGTTTTCTGGGGCACTGCAGAGTAAGGAATTTAAACCAAGTTAAAATTACAGAAGAAAATAGTTTCTGCCTTGATGGGTTTAGATGTAACAGTATGACCAGTTTAATGTCTCAGATTGCTAAGTCTCTCATAATGTCTATTTAACAGTATTTGCAACATAAATAATGTGTTTTAATTTAAGCAAAATTAAAATCTGGAATTGCAAGTTATTGGACATAACAGATTGGGGGAGGGAAACACATGGGAGTCATGTCGGATAATCAGTTGAATATGCGTGTGTATTGGAATATAGAAAAATGCACAAATTCAATTCATAAATGCATATATATATATATATGTGTGAATCACTGTCATTTAATACTTATGTACAACAAATCTGTCCAGCCCAGGCTGTATTGGACGTGTTGACTATGTGAAAATAGGTCAGCACAACTGCAGAGGTAGCCATATTCAGGAATAAAATAGATTTATCACACACACACCACATAGATACCAATAGTAATTCCAACACACCCTATATGTGAGCTGTTGCATAAAATTTGACAGAATCATTTGTCTTCCAACATACTTCTTAGGAATCAGCCAAGCAGAAGCCCAGTGCATATAAATTAACAAAAAATAAGAAATTCATATTAAATAGCATTAATAAATGTAATATGGTACACAAAGATCCAGCACAAACTTATAATCATGTGAGAGAGGAATGTCTGGATTATTTTGGGGGGGCCACATTAATCTGAACTGCTGGTAAAAGCTTCCCTCATTTTTCTTCTCAGACATCTTTTCCCTGTTAATGTCTGTCCTGGGTTCAGCTATAGCAGTCATTTTTCTCCTTCTTAGTAGCTGGTGCAGTGCTGTGCTTTTGACTTTCAGTCTGGAACAATGCTGATAACACCGATGTTTTTAGTTGTTGCTCAGTAATGTTTACTCCGACCAAGGACTTTCTCAGTCTCATGCTCTGCCAGGGAGGATGGGAAGCCAGGAGGAAGCAGAGACAGGACACCTGACCTAAACTGGCCAAAGGGCTATTCCATAGCACAGCACGTCATGGCCAGTATATCAACTGGGGGGAGTTACCCAGAAGGCCCAGATCGCTGCTTGGGTCGGGCTGGGTATCGGTCAGTGGGTGCTGAGCAAATGTGTTCTCTCCCCGTTTTATTTGCCTTATCAGTATTTTTATTGGTGGTAGCAGTAGCGGTTTTGTATTATACCACCTCAGTTACTGGGCTGTTCTTATCTCAACCCATGGGGGTTACTTTCTTCCAATTCTCCTCCCCATTCCTCTGGGAGCGAGGGGAGGAAGAAATGGGTTGGTGAGCTGAGTTACTGGCTGGGCTTAAACCATGACAATATCAAAATCATAGAAACATCGAACTGTCCACCTTTGAAGATCATGTAGTCCAACCTTTTGTAGAAAATGGAGCCTAGATGAGATTGTGTAGCACCCTGTCCAGTTGCATCTTGAAAACCTAAAGCAATGGGTCTCTACCACATCCCCAGGGAGGTTGATGCAGTGAATGTTTGTTCTTACTGTGAAAAATTTCTTTCTCATATCGAGATGAGACATCTCCTGGTGCAACTTGTACCCATTGTCTTTTGTCTTCTCTATGTGGCTCCTTGTGAAGAGAGAGCCTCCATCCTCTTTGTAGCCACCCTTTAAGTACTAGAATACTGTGAAGAGGTCCCATCTGAGCCCTTTCCAGGGAGAAGGGACCTAACTCCCTTACCCTTTCCTCACAGGACAGGTTCTCCAGCCCTTTTATAATCTCCTTTTATAATCCTCCCTTGGACCCTTCCAGTCTGTCTGCATCTTTCTTGAATTGTGGGGCCCAGAACTGGACACAGTACTTCAAGTGCAGCTTGACAAGTGCTGGAAAGAGTGGGATGATCACATCTCTGTTTCCATTAGTAAAGTCCCTGCAGATGCAGCTGGCTTGCCAGATTTTTCCAGTTTAGGGTAAATGTGCTCTGATCAGTCTGGTATGAAGTAAAGAAGATGCAGAGGGTTTTCAAGGATACACGGTTTGGCAAGGAGCAGAAGTTGAAATGTTGAATAGATGAGATGAACAGCAAATACAGACACAGCCATGTCATTTTGACACACCTACCATAATTGTACTCATTCGTATACTCAACACATTGCCATAAATCAATCTAAAAACCTTATTTGTTCTAGCAGACAAAATATCTAATTTCATTTTCTGTACAAACTCAAACTTGGTGAAACTCAGGAAGCTTTTTTCATCTTCATAGGGAGTTAGGAAACTCCTCTCACCTAATATCAGTCTTTCAAAAGTTCAGCATCCATAATAAATCCATCTTCAAATTTCACATATTTTCTTTGGAAAAGACAGACACCTTCACAGGAGGATGCAGTTTCTGAATAGATGACTGCTTTGAATTGTCTCTGGAAAAGACAGTCTGTCCCTTACTCTGTGGATTAGAGAGGAAGCCAAGGAGGATTAGTCTTACTTGCCTAAAGTTGCATAACTTCTGTAGAAACCATGATGCTGGGTGTTTAGCACTGTTTGAATGTGCTGTGCAGTATTAAGTAATTCATAATTTGTTTTCATATTTGAAAGGTGAAGCCACTGTAGCTGAAGTTGACAACGAGGTGGTAAAGGAAAGGGAGGCCAAAGCAGATGAAACCAAGGAAGAGGAGGCCAAGGCAGATGAAGCAGAGGGAGAGCTTATGAATGCTAGAGAGGAGGAGGAACATGATGTTACAAAGGGTGAAATAAAGCATGAAGACACTGAAAGGGAACAGGACAAGGAGCCCACTTGGGAAATTCTGGTTAGGCAGAGTTATCCCCAAAAAGTAAAGAACTCTCATCTATATGCATCTGTGGCAAGGCAAGCAGAACAAGAGGTGTCAAGAGTCATCACCAGTCAAGGAACTGTCATAAAGTACCTGATGGATGGATCTACCAAGGTAGGTTTAGTAGAATTAATTTAAAGCAGCCTGTGTGGAATTACCCTTAAACTTGCACTTGTCAACTGAGATAGAGAATTGTCCAATTTGTAGATGAAAGAGTTAAGTAACCAGTGGGTTACGCAGCCATGTCAAGACATGTTTTTGGCTTTGTTCAGGATCAGAACTTAAGGCACATAGGGAGTTTTAATAATGAAGATTTTAGGCAACTTTGGGATTGGGAAATACCTAAATATGGTTTTGAGGACTGCATTCCTGATCAGTAAATGTAACTCTTGAGATGTTTCTTTATGTTTTCTATTTGGTTTCTACACAGTACTTTCTCCCTGGAACAGCTATATTGATTTCTAAATGAATTCAGGGACAGTTGGGGGTAATTCTAGGCTTTGTCTGCCACACAGGGAAAACGCATATCAAGATTTGAGTGTAATGGACACTAGATCTCAGAAAACAGCTGTAATAGAAAGAACTGTGTCTTCTTTTTGTTAGCTGTCTTGATGACTAAGAAGTTAATAGTAATCCTAGACATCTGGAATACCTGAATACAGATCATTATGGTGATACAGATGCATTACCACTGCTACAAAAAAAAAAAAAAGTCATGACTTTTGACCACTTAAATAGTCAAAGAATAATCTTTACTGCTTACTTTTATAATGCCTATTTGTCACCATATATGTGAACTGCAGCAATTAGCAGTCCTTTGTGCAATGATTAATGGGATTAATTCATCTCCTCTCCCCTCTTCTCGCATTCTCTTCCCCTCCCTTCCCTTCCTCTCCCCTCCTCTCCTTTTTTTAGGGAGCTTCTTTATTCTTGTATCATTTGGAGAGTTTTTACTTTTTTCCCCTCCATCACCCACAATATTCTGGTGGCTATTTGCATTTGCAACATAGTCTTTTGAGATTTTCTATTTGTGTTTGAAGTGATTTTAACCTCTAGTATATCCTTGATCTCTGTAGATTCTGTTTGCTGATGGCACAGTGAGTAGGAGTCCTGATTCTGGCCCTGTCCTACCACCATGTCCAATTCCAGATGACATGCAACTGTTACTGGAATCTGATCTTTTACCTGAGACCAGCACTAAGAAAGGTAGTATTTCCATTGTTTTGGATAGATTTAAAGTAAGAAAGGCTGATGATACTTAATAAAGGACATCTTTCTTTAGTATGAAAATTCTGCTGGTACAATTCTATCTGTACTCCACTGCTGCACACTGCTGATTTGATACCTTCATAGCAAATAACTTCTGGTCTACTCCAGATTTATTTTAATTTTAACATGCTAGGTCTATAATAAAAGTATGTCTAAGAAGTACGTTGTTACCAAAATGATTCAACACAAAGCCTTTTAAAATAAATCCTTGTAACTACAGGCATGTCAAATCCTTACTTAAGTGTTAGACGGTTTTGGTCTTGTGTTGAGAAATGCTTCTTTCACAAAGGACTTAATGTATTTTTCTTTTTCATTGTATGCATTTCAGGGCAACTACTATTGGTCATTAGCAACTGGTCATATGGACTTGTGATCTGTGCCAGTATACCCATTCTTACCTTATTTTGTTTGACTGAGAAAGAATCAAATAAAAATCTACTTCATACCTCAGAGTGTAGTCCAAAAACATCATCAGTGCTACTTAGTGCACAGAATAATTATGACCCATCATAATATTAACTTAGAATCTATTGGAAGTATGTGAATAAAAATTGCTGACGAAAAGAAAGGTCTCTCAGACTTTCTGAGTTGTCAAATCCAGCACTTGTTCTCAGGATATTCCTTAGGATAACTGGTTGGACGTTTGAGAACTTCTCTGATGATCTCTTCTAATTCTCAGTCTCATTGTCTGTGGCCACTGTATATCCTTTACTCATGATTGCTTTCTCCCCCACACTTTTCATCTCCACTGCTTAGTCATGACAAATTTATAGTGAACACTAGACACTTAGTCTAAGTTTCTTATTTTGAATATGGGAGATTAGAGTTCTCCATCACATTCTTAATATAATCACTCTCCAGTTCCCTTTCACAATGGAGTCTCTCCATCTTTTCTGATGCACCACAGGATTGTGTTTGCCTTTTTTTATTAGTGTATTTTCACACTGGTAACTTGTAGTCATTCTCTATGGATGATTCCTCCAGGTCTTTCTTTTATTCTACTGTTGCAAACATGTCTAAAGCAGATTTTTATTCTTTTTCACATTAAATTTCATTCTAATAAGCTGTATCAAATTCCTTTTACTTTAATCTTCAAGCTCATGGGACAGTTTTGGATGCTTTTTTCCCTCTAATCCATTCAGATTTTCTGCTGCATTAATAGTCCCTTTCCAAAGTCATGTCACAATCAGACGTCAGTAGCATGCTCTTCATTAATGAACACATTAAGTAAGATTAGTTCAAGGGCACACCTTTGAATAACAGGACATCTAATTTCCTTTCAGCCTGATAAAATGTTGTTCTTTCAATTCTGTCAAAACCAATACTCACAGAAACTCTGCACTTCATTGATTTTCTTTTGCCTTAGAGAATACCAAGTCTAATACAGAAATTTTGTTTCAGCAGGGAAAGCCCATGACAAAAGCAACAAATTACACTCAGGCAAGGATGAGTTGTTTGAAAATGCTACACAGGATGTGGTTAATTCTGCGCAAGCTGAGGTGAACCAGGCAGGAACCTGGATAACAACAACTCCATCAGGCATTCAAGTGGGCACTGAGGAAGGAAAGAGAATGGATCTGAAACCACTCTTAATCTATCAGGCAACTGACCCAGCCGATGGAACGGTATTACTATTTTTGTGTTATAGCACCATCTACTAAGCTAAGAAGGCTGCCATCATATGTTGTAGGTTTTATTCTTTGAACACATAGGCTATGTTGTGTTAGGTTAGGTTAGGCTAGGCTAGGTTGTGTTATTACACTGTTACTAATACAAAGACTTTATATTTTGTTGATGTCGTGGTTCAAGCCCAGCCGGCAA